ATATGGGGAATACCTTATCCTTCAAAAGTTTTCATCTTATTTCTATAGATTTTTTGTTAAAAAAATCTTTTTGAGGAAAAAAACAAAAGCACGTGTTATCTTTTTGTTCTTTTAAAATGTTTTGGGGTGTGTAAAAATGCTGTTGTTTGATTGGACAGAAAAATAATTACGTGTACTTGATGTACATTTATAGCAACTTTCGGTTATCGTTCTTGACTTCCATATTTAGAAATCGTCCAGACCTGATTAACCTCATGCATCTCTAAAAATGTCTATACAGTATAAATATATGGTTAATAATATAAAAAAATATGTACATATGAAATCCTAGTTCACAAAGTTCCAAAAATGGAAATACAAATTGTAGTTAATTATAGTTTATAATGAAGTTTTCAGGAAGTTTCTCACGATATAATCAATACCTAGCATAATGGGTTCACTACGGATTTCTAGTCTGATAGTTATAATTTATTTTCTAAATTTGTATATATACATTTTTAACATCAAAATACATGTATACACGTTCTTTGTAAAAATAAAACACACTAGAGTTATCTAGATAAATAACATTCTGTTTGAAAAATTCCACAGAAACACAGAGAAAAAAACCCCAAAATAATGCCGAATGTCATTCTATTGTCCTAAATTGTTTATTTTATTTTTATATGTTTGTTAATTCATAGAGATATCAACAAGATATCATAAAATGATTAAAAAAAACGCCATTGATTTAAGAACATTGCTAAGGTTTAAATTTTAAATATTTCAAATGTGATTGGTCATTTTGAAATAAACATTTGACTTAATAACATATTGCTTCTACCCACACCTACATGTACTGTTAATAAAAAGATGCTAGAGTTTCTTACGAAGATTTTTATGCGTATGATGTAGTCTTTGCATGCACTCACAGTCTTTCAATAATGGTTTCGCTACTAAGGATACTAATTATTCTCGTTTCTTTAATCATAAGGCATAAAATTTTGATCTTTGAATACTGAATAATTATTTTCAATCATTCATCCAATCAATAAATTCCAGTAATATAAAAATATATAAATTTGTTCACTTTGTTGTCCAGGCATTATGTTAAGTCCTAACCAACATCCAAACTATTTTGTGTGTTCAGTATCAAAAGATACACCACACACCTAAGAATTAATATCTTTTTTTACAGTTGATAAAGACAACAGTTCATCTACCTCCTCGTAAATGTCAAAAAGATCTCCTTTCATACACCGCCATTTTTTCAACTCTCGTTCATTTGTTCTTAACGTTCTGTCTTTTAAAACATGCTCTATGGTTGCTATGATACTTCCAATCTCTCGTGGGAATGCTTTATCAAATATACCAATAATTCTGGTTTCAAAATGAATGTCAAAAATGAATTTCAAAGATGTTTCAATCGCCTCCTTAGTGTACAATTTTAGACAATCTTCAAAAGAGGCACGTGCTTGTTGGGAGGCAACTGCTCCGTGAGACGAGTGCTGCATTTCGTCGGGGAAAAGGGCTAAAGCAGCAAACGTGTTCATTGTTGGAAGCCATGGACATGGTTCCAGCAATTTCTGTAGACCCGAAGGGATATCATTTCTTTCTTCAGAATCTTCTTCTCCAGTCAACAATGTTGTTATTTCTTCAATTTTCTGTCGAATAACTCTAAAATTTTTTGACACTTTGTTTTCAATTCCGTCTAGTGCATTTAAAACTTCTTTCCCTTTCATCCACTCAATCGTTTCTTTTCGCATAATTGAATTCCAGTCAATGGATTCTTTTTCTTTGGTTCTGTACTTTTCTCGAATTTCGTCACTACTGTTGAAGGACTTTAATTTTGTGTGAAATGTTTTCGAGAGGTTTGATGCAGCAAGTGTTATTTCATCAAAAAGCTTTTGTTTAACCTAAGAAAATACGAATATATTTCATATATATTATTCTAAGCTCTCTGATTGGTGAAACTTGCTTACATGATCAAGTATATATATGTAGCAGCATATAAGCATATAGAATTGTGATACTATTTATAAACTCTAAAAAGCATATCAACTTGATGTTTCTTAAAACGAGAAAAATCTTTTGAATGAAAAAAAGTTCTGACTTCAAAATAGCTTATACAGTGTATAACTTAGTTTTCTGAAAGAAAAACTCTATGATATGTACTGTAATGTTTGGTTATACATAACGATGGCTTGAATAAGGATTTACATTTTATTAAAATATATCAGTAGGGTTTGTTTTTCATTAATCGATAGAAAAGATATTAATCAAATAAAGTCACTATAATCAGTAAATTCCCTGAATTGTTTTGTCAGTAGAAAACAAACACCTTAATTTGATCTCTTAGTCCCTGTAATGTAAAAAAAGTCGAGAAACTTTTGGCTCGTTTCCATTACTTTCAAATTTTGTTTTTATGCGCCCGGTGTAACGACGAAAAGTGACCCCCGTAAAATACTGATCAGGGGGTCATTTTTCTACGTAGAAAAATGACCCGGATCAATATTCTAAGACAAGTAAGGTCATTTTCGACTGCAGAAAAACATTCCAGACCAGCAATTCTACGACTCCACACACAATGAAAAATGACCCCCATAGAAATTTGACCCCTACTTTTTTATACTATAAAACCTAATATCTGTGTTTCCTGATATTTTTATTCTTTCAAATATAAGAAAGGGTGGGGGTATGCACTTTAATCCTTTCAAACATATATTTGATTGCATATTTTAATAGAAGCATCACTGCGAAACAATATATTCAAGAAGAGGTGTGAATCAGATGTGGATACTCAAGAATTCCAAAAAACTTTTGGACCGTTTGAAATCACAAAATTTTTCCAAAATCAGCAGCTTAAAAACTTACGACTTTTCAAGTTTATACACAATCATTCCCCACGATAAATTCAAGTCCACGCTTTTTGATAGCATTGATAGCTGCTTTTTTCAAAAAATATGGAACTAGAAAATGTACTTATCTGGTCATTGGTCATTTGCAAAATTATTTTGTTAAAACATTCTCATCGCACACAAAAGTACACTGAAGTTGACTTCAAAAGTTGCTTGAGTTTCTGATTGACAATATCTATGTGGTTTTTGGAGACCAAGGCTTCCAACAATCTATTGGTATTCCCATGGGTACCAATTGCGGTCCGTTATTAGCAGACCTATTTTTGTATTCATATGAAGCAGAATTTATGAAAAATCTTATGCGTGAAAAAAAGAATTTACCTGCCGTGGCCTTCAACTTGACATTTAGACATATCTACGACGGTAATTTCTATTCCTACGTCGAAACGATATATCTTGGTGAGCTTAAGATAAAAGAGACCATACAGTCTGACACATCTGTTTCATACTTGGATATTTTACTTGAAAAAGAAGTTAATGGTAATCGAACAAACAAGTATACGATGAACGTGATGACTTTAACTTTTCTATCGTCAACTTCCATTACCTATGCAGCAATAAACCTTCATCACCTGCATACAGAGTTTATATATCTCAGTTGATTCGATACACAAGAGCATGCTCTACGTATGAACTATTGACAAGCAAGTTAATGAAACAAGAATATAAGCAGTTTCGTTTAAAGTCATCACTTCATAAGTTCTATGGTCAATACAATGTCCTTGTCAGCAAATACAATTTATCATTGAGTCAAATGCTGACTGGTGTTTTTAATACTAATTGTTAGTCTATTATTTATACTCTGAATTGACGACGGATTTTTTCCGTTATTTCCCGATCATGACAAGCAGTACACGTCGGGTGTGACCGGTCAGCAGGGGATGCTCACTCGTCCATGACACCTGATCCCACCTCCGATGTTTCGGAAGTCCAAGTTTGCTCTGCTCCTATTTTGTATTGTTTTATGGACTTTGATATTGAATACTGTTCGTGATCTCCATACCCTTCTTCATCGAGGAGCATAAAGAACTATATGCGGTATATTGCATATATTTGCCCCCACAAAAGTCAAATTTTGAAAACTTCCTGAAATGTGCTGAATTCAATAAATTGAGAAATATAAATTAACAGAAAATATTAAAGTTTCAAAGCAGTGTATTCACAATTTTTGTTTTTATGACGTCACAAACTAGTCCGATTATATATCTTTTTCAGAAAGAGGACAAAATGGACAAAATTTCAACAATTTTAGCTTTAAAATTTATAGAGCGCAAGTTTGTTCAGGAATAATATTGACATATTTCATTGATATTATCATTCTACACATTATATCAAAATATTGATCCTGAACACACATGCGCTCGATGACTTTTACTCAAAATATCGACGAAATATGTACATTTTTCTGTAAAATTCATAAAAAACTGAAATTTACGTCATGTTTGTGATGTCATTACGTACATATGGCGTCATTAATTATGAAAATATTCAGTGCTTTGAAGTCAGCATATACTCCCCTGTTAAAAATCTGAATTAAATATATCTCCATCAAAGATTGATTCTGGGGGCAAATATTGGTTATTACCGAATAAAGTTCTTTATGATTTTATTTTTGGGTGTTTTTTTATTATCGTTCAAAAGTTTCGTTCTGAAAATGGCATGATATGTTTCTGATAACCTTAACGTTGAAAAATTTTACAATTTCAAAAACATAGCATCGCGTCGTTACACCGGATCGAAAGATGAGGTGTATACTGTTTTTGTCCTGTCTGTCTGTCTGTCTGTTTGTCTGTTTATCTGTTTGTCTGCAAACTTTAACCTTCGCCATAACTTTTGAACCATGAATGAAAGAGACTCCACTAATTAAGCTCTTTTAAATGACACTAAAGTCAATGAACTTGTGACCTTGACTGTGACCTATATAATAAAAATAGGGTTTTTTTGCAAACTTTAACCTTCGCCATTTCTTTTTAACCATAAAAGATAGAGACCTCATATTTGGTATGCATACACCACTGATTATGATTTTTTAAATGACACCATGGTCAATGAAAATGTGACCTTGGCTGTGACCTATGCGCTAAATATAGCTTTTTTGTCGGCAAACTTTAACTTTCGCAATTAATTTTGAACGAAGAAAAATAGAGACTTAATGTTTGGCATGCATACTCCACTAATTAAGCCCTTTCACATGACACCAAGGTCAAGGACTTTGTGATCTTGACTGTGTCCTATATGCTAAAAGTATTTTTTTTTAACCTTCACCATAACTTTTGAACCATGAGAGATAGACACTTCATACTTGGTATGCATACTTCACTAATCAAGTTCTTTTAAATGACAACAAGACCAATGATCTTGTGACCTTGACTGTGACCTATAAGCTAAAAATATTTTTTTTAATTTTGTTGCCGCCGGGCGCTTAGTGTTTCACAAACACATCTTGTTTCAATCTAACTATATTATACATTATATTTAGAGAGATGGAGAGAGATTAAGGTATGATGGGTTAAAGTGGCAATTTAAGTGCAGCCTTTAAATTTTATATTTGTTACACATATGTACCTCAAGACTGCTTTCTTTTAATGTTTTCATTTCTTTTAATGACTTTTCTACTTCAATTCTTTTTCTGTCACCTTTGGCTGCCGTGTTTATTCTTGCATTTATTCCTCTTTTAATTCTGTTCATGTCATCTTTCAGCAACCTTTAAAGCAGACAAATACGTAGTATATTTATCATGGATATATCTTTCATTATATCGCATAATATGTAGGAAGATAAATGTGCCATTGAATGTTACTTTTAAAATGCAGAAAACGTTTAAACTTCAAAAGTACAAATCTATTGTTTTGATAGAGATAGCAACTGTTTTGAATTACTATCTAATGAAAATTTCAGATCATTAATTATTGTGGTTTATTTTATTTTCAGCTTTTATCAAGTTTCAAATGAATAAACTGCATCTTGTCTGCATAATATATTGAAGTAAAACGTTTTCTTATCATATGATACAATGAAGAAATGAAACTTAGTGATGAGGTAAAAAAAAAAAAATTGTGAACACAGGACAATTTCCAACAATTTGCAATTGTACGTAAAGGGACATAAACACATCTTCACCTTAAAGTTTTCAAAGTTATTTTCATTTTTTTCATGTTTTCAAATATCTAAATAAGGTATTTCAAATTATCATCAAAAATTTGAATTTCAGTTGTCGAGATATAAGACAGCTCCAAACCTTTGTTATGTAAATAGGGCCCATGTTATAATTTTGCTTACATTGTGGGGAATTCTAAGTTCTGCATATTTTTGTATTTCGGCAAATGATATTCAATTTTTGCAAATCATTAGATTTGCCATATTTAGGAATTGTAAACATTGATGTTGGTTTTAAAATATTCAGTTGAAACTGTGTCCATGTCTCTTTAACAAATTATTGCCTGACGTCACGGCGTCAGGCACTACTAAGAATCAATATTTCCTAGGCGCGAATCTAAGAGGTCACAGTTAGCCAGCAGAATTTTGTGCATGCTGATTATCATGGGATTTTCAACAACAACAGTTTAGCAGAAAAATAAACATATTACTGATACAATATATTGATGTACTTATTTCCTTATAGTACTTATTAGTTTATTGCATGCAGCTATTTATTTCATGTAAGTTCCTATACGGACAAGTCCGTTTGACCTTTTTTCTGCGTTTCTATACTACTGGAATAGTCCATTTGTCTTCTAAGTAAGGGGTGACACAATCATTTCGCGCCAAAAGGTCACGTGTAAGTTTTTGTGCCTTTTTCTTGGACTATTCTATTGAATGGAAATGAAAACTGCCTGGATTATAATAGAGACATATAATATTATGTCAAGTCTGTTCTTTTTTGTGGGAATCTTGATCGAGCTTTGGAAAAAAAAACATATCGGTGATACATTGTGAATTGGGTTAAAAGTTGCTTCATTTAAAGTAATAAAAACGAAACGAACAAAAATACATATGATCATACCCACCCCCCTCCAGGGGTTTCCTCCTACAAAAACAAATACTAGTATAGACTTTCGAAAATGCCCCCTCACATTTCAGGATTGAGGAAGTTCATTACTTTTTTGCTCGGACATTTTTTGTAGGTTCTATTGATATTGATGGCATTCGTCAGGCAAGCTTTTTGAAAAGCTGTTACTTGTAACATATAACAATAAAATCATTTAAATATATACTTTTAAAGATTTCTTTTAACAAAATTGTCTTTTAAGGAGAAAAATTAATAGGGTAACAAATTAACCCCTCCCCCACACACCTTAGGCCCCCCACAACCACAGATTAGATTACTCACCAAACATTGTTTTATTTTGATTTTCCTGGGACTGAATAGAAACATAAAAGCTGATTGCAAAACGCGTATGGCTTTTCATAACAAAATATCAAAACCATACTTGATATGTTAACGCTGCACACATCACTCACTTATACATGTAATCAAGAAGGTTAGGTCCTGAAATTCACAGTACGGAGATTTTTCTATCTAGTATATTTTTAGAATCCACACGCATAGCTTCATTAAAAATCAAAACACAAAATGGGGGTTACAACGCTCCTTTTGGATCTACCATCTATCATTTAAAAGACCATGTTCACTGTAATAATGTCAAACACGTAAATCAGTTTTTCTGTTTTTCCTCCAATTTTTTTATTCAAAAAAAATATTGGAACAATTTTAAAAACAGTCTCATTTCATCTTGAGTAGCTATAAACATATTAAATAATTGTGACAACCAAACTCTTTAAAATTACTTCGCATCGTCAATTATTTTACCTTTTGACCTCATAACGTCATTTTCCAACATAAAAATCATTTTAAAGTAATTTCATGTTACTGAATTTAAGCAGAATGATTACAATTATCTTTAATATTAAGAAAGGAATATTAAAAGGAAAGGGTGTGATGTTACTATTTTGGATATTACTTATAAAGTGTCTTTTTTAGGCCTATATTGAGGCTATTGTTTTTCTAGTCTTTCACAATATATTTGCTTAAGTTTTATGGTGATAGAAATCGTCGCAATAAATTTGGACCAATATAAATAAGTTCAGTGCACAAATAAATCCTGTGTGAAGACTGGATGAAAAAAATTCTTTGAAAGAGCGATAAAGTCATTTTTTTTCTAAACAACTTTCCTCCACAAAATATAGTTCCTCATTTTATGCTTTTGATATCGGTTTTATTAATGGGTTTAAATTGAATAAAAAACAGTTACTGGTACAATAAAGTGTTTTATATGCATTTTTTAATTCCTTATAACTGATGTAATAATTATGCAATTTATTTGTAATCCCATTTGGGTGCCTCTTGCATTTACTGATTGATTTTATAGCTTGGACCAATCAAATGATGTTATAAGTATCATTTTATTTTTTTTTCATTTAAAGAAATTTATATAACGAATTGAATTCGTTAAAAAAAAATCGACCATTCGTTTAAATCGAATTCAAAATTATATTTGATAAGACTTAAAAGGGCTTCCGTACTAGGATAAACCTAATTTGACAATAAATATACGAACCTTAGGTGTATTGCAATTTTGCTGTCCGTGTTCTTCCTTGATAAATCCAGCAGGCGTTTAGTAAATCTTTCGAAATCTGCTCTTTCTTCATCTGAGCCGTCGTCTGGATTTATCTAAGTTGAAGTACATGTTTATTCAATACTATATAAGAACATTTATAAATGTTATTGTATAAATCACAACAATCATTTCTAAAATAACCGATAGAACAAGAATATTACTTTAAGTATTATGTTATGGCAAATATGAGTGCAACCGTGAATGACGTCAGTATTTAATGTTCTTCACGGCAATTTTTCGATGTTCCGGAGGGAAAAAAAATGAAATAAAGGGGTTTTGTGAAATATCCACATGAGACAAATTATCATGGAATTCTTAAACCATTCTTATCAGTGTTGACACCCAATTTGATTTTGAAAGAGTACAAACTATAAAGGACGTAAAATAGGAATAAATATATTATAGCGAGCGCAGCGAGGCGGCGCGAAGCGCCGCTCGCGTAGCGAGCTGAATAGACCAACGTGTACGAACGGAGGAAATTCGGGTTGAAATCTGCACATTGTTCTAAGAAATTTTTATCTCACCGCGTGAAAAAATTCCAAACTCCCAGTAATCCTTTGCGGTGCATAGCAACATGTCGGCTAAAACATAGCAACAACTTACTTAAAAAAAAAAGATTACAAACAACGATTTAATGCAGTATCCATGCCACAATACTATCGTTTGACGTTTGCGTTCTAAGTCAACAGGACTTTTTATTTGACGCCATACTTTCGTCATTAACGGCTCGGGTATTTCCGATTTTGTTGGAAACTTCCGAAAAGTTCGGAATCTCGATCCCGACGCCTGAGAAGTGATTTCTTTTTATTCTTTTCCTTTTTTTAATGAACAGAGGATAGGCAGTGCAAGTAAAACCTGTGTAAAGGTTTTTGATAGCACCTTAGAACATATTAAAACAATAAACAAAACGATTGCGTTCAGTTATATAAAACTTAGAACATTTTTAATGAAAACTAACCAGAGCAAAACTTGTAAAATTATTTTCAATTAAAAGTCGTAAAATCACTTGATGAACTCTTACTAGACTAATATAATGATAATAAACCTGACAAAAAAGAAAACTTCTTGCAGTGATTCGATTAGTTGAGATGCTGTCCACCTGTACAAAACATTTAAGTAAAATGTGCGATATGTGCATGAACTATTTGATGCTAAAAAAAAGAATGGCTTGTTTGGTATTTATGATGACTCAGCCTTTTATTTCATCATGAAATTTGAATAAATGATTTGAGTAATTAAACGTCATTATAAATGATATTTTAAAATTTATAAATATAAACATACAGTTTTTAAATAAAGTTTGAAGATCGTGTCCTCTTCAAATACAGGCCAGATTTTTTTGATTGTCTCTTTTACGTCATCCCAAGTTTCCTGCATTTCATCAACATTGTCATCATCATCTTCATTATCATCATCTTCATCATCATCACAGCCTTCTTTCATTTGATCTTTTAGCATATTCCATTTATTTGTCACAAAAAGGACATCTTTTGGATCAAAACAAGGCATTTTGTAGAGGTTCGTCAGAATTGTTTCCAAAATTTTGACAATCTGAATAAATATCAAAATGTAATACAAAAAGACGTGTTTGTGGTAAAACTGTTGCGCCCGTATTACAGCGTATGACGACCGTTGTAATTGCTCAAATGCAAAAAGAAAACTCCAAGGTCAAAGTCAAAAGGTCACAATCGTTGGTACCAGACGGAAGCTGAATTTACAAGGGATACACGTGTGAAATATGAAAGCCTAAGTACCAAATTTTCAAAAATTATTGTCAAGGTAAATTTTTAAAAGGGTCAAAATGTCATAATTGTTGGTACCAAAAGGAAGGTCTTGTCACAAGGAAATACACTCTTGAAATTTGAAAGCTCTATAAGTAACGGCTTAAACGATATGGTCAAGGTTGTTTATTTTGATTATTTTTAAAGTTTACCAAACTCTAAGGTCAAGGTAAAATATCTTTTATCCCATGTTTAACCCTTTATCCCGTTGATATAGCTCATGTGATATCGTTTTCGTATCACACAGTTGTGACGTCACAATGGATTGTGCGTTAGAGTGATGAAGTAAATGAAGTTGAGTCTTTTATAAAAGCAGTGCTAAACATTGTTTGTAGTATAAAATACCTGGGATAAAAAGAATCTCACATGATTTGTGGTTAGATATGATTTTAATCCAATTCGTTGTGTGTTTTTATCCCCTCGCCAAGGCTCAGGGATAAAATCCACACAACTTGTTGGATAAAAATCATATCCAACTACAAATCATGTGAGATCCTATATATATCAAATAAAAGGATTCATCAAAAAGAATACCAGTCAGTATACGTGTAAAATAAGAAAATCCTAGTACTTACAGTTTAAAAATTGTGGCAAAGGTTTTTAAAAGGTTGACAAATATTCAAGTCAAGGTCAAAACGTAAAATATTTTCAAACCCAATGAAAGGTTTGTCACAGTAAATATACCTGTGAAGTATAAAAACCCTTACTCTAACTATTTAAAAGCACCGGCTTTAGGTAAAGTTCGAATTTTTTTTTTTGTAAATGTTGGTCAAAGAGGTAGGTCATTAGGTCAAATTTTGTGATACAACATCAAAGAACAACAATTGCTAAAGTTTAATCATAAATGATTAATTACAGTAAACATTTCTATTCTCTTTAGATTACTCATATTATGATTTTTAGGTTTACCCTATCTTCCTGAACTCCGCCTGCGTTTGACACGTTGATGATAAAAACAAACGCAATTGCACTAGGAAGATATCTCAAAAGCATATTTGTCAACTCTTCGGATGTTCCAATACCTGGTGTATCCACAAGCATCATATTTCCCTTTTAAATAATAATAAAGGATTGTTCAAACAAAAGATAGGATTATACTGAACTAAAATTGTACACGTACGAGGGGTAATAAAAGGGTTTGGGAACTACATTTATCTCTATATTTAGAAAACTATACTTGAAATCAGAATCATTTAAAATACGCGCATAGTCATACACATATTCCACAGACGATATTCTTACTCGTATTTAAATTTGTAGAATCACACACGAGGACATGCAAATTTAAAGTAAATTAATTTGAATTCAGAAGACTTTCGATTAGACAAAGCATACATTTTTGCACATAAAAATACATGTTGTTGTGTGGTGATTCAAAAGATAAAAAAAAATCACAGGTTATTTCTTAGATTATTTTTCTGATACCGTTTTCAAAATTTCACATCAAAACGTTATAAAAATTGATATTTTTTGTGATGAAACATGATACATCATGAACACAAATGCAGTATTTTGTTCGGCATCACTGACATCTTTTTTTTGAAATATTATAAGAATGAAATATTCATATTTTTTTTCAAATTACGTTCCTTTATGTAAAAATAGGAGTCAAAACTTAACAATACTAAATACTAGGGATGCCAAATCGGATAGAATGTAAGTTCATTGTAAAAGCTTAAACTTTCTTAACATTTTCTAAATGGTGGTCGAGAAAAAAATCTGCTAAAAAGCTGAGGAGCGCACCTCTTTCAGAATTATGCACTTTCACTACTATTTCAATAGAGTACAGCCTTAACATTCAGAACCGCCTTTTCTCTGCCTTGTCATGAATTTCATAACTTTTGTTGATGGAGTAATGTTTATATATAATATCAAATGCCAACTTTAGTTGACTGCATACGGTCTAGAGGTAAAGAAGATTAAATAAAAATATTTCACACACTTGTTCGTTTTCGCCCAGGGTTAAGAGCCACAGGGGATAGATTTTCACAAGTTTTGCACCCCTATAGCCATAGATGTTGAAATTGATGCAGTTGTTTTACAAAATAAAATGAAACTGTTGCAAAAAGTGCTAAACAAATGACAGCGGATGAAACCAGATGTAGACAGTATACAATAGATCACCTAGGAAGTTCACTGAGGGGTGACGTAATAATATGATCACTATGCGAAAACCATTGAGTACGCATTTAGTCAGTAGTGGATTTAGGTGTATACCTTTGTTTTCAAGTTGCCAAATGGACAGAAAACGTCAATGTAGTGGATATTTGGGTCTGCCTTTATGCTTTTCTTCAAATCTGAATTCTTTTCGAGTAAGGTCCTAATTTTCTTCAAATCCCCAAAACCACTAAAAAAATGTGCATCAATGACCTTGTCATTAGCATCGGACAATTTAAGGCAAACCTCCTCCGAAGGGCTAATTCTGCAAATTTTTGCTGTTGCTGGTCTCGCTTTTGGACAAAACAGTTCTTGGCCAACAAGTTTATTTATCAGACTTGTTTTACCAGAGCTTGTTTCTCCTAAAAAGAAAATGATAACATAACGATACCAAAAATTGTGCTATATGTCCCCTTTCTGTTAAACTGGGAGGAAACATAGGTTTCAGTCATATTACGGATATTTGTCTTTAAGAAAATATGAAAAACCACAAAATAGGTCTTTAAACATCGCCTGTAGAATTTATTAAATGGACAGTATTAAACAATATAACTTTAGAATATAATATTCGTTTTTAGCCGGGCTTATTGCTCAAAGAGCAATTGCCGGCTTATGTGATCCTGTTCAAGGCAGGATGTTGACCCCATAGTCGCCATTTTAAAGTTACGTGCAAAAATATAGTTCTTACTCTCAACCGCTTTTGAGATAATACAAACGCTAAATAAAGCAACAAAAATAAAACGAAGTTTTATCTACATAAAATAAACATTAGTAGTAATGACCTTGAAAACTTCATAAGTCAAAGAACATAGTTCATTAGCGTAAGGAATTTTGATAATCAGTGTTACCGTAGTTCTCTACAAATACTAGGTAAAGCAGGAGAGGGAACCAGACTGGCCTGTTTGTTTACATTCAGCTGCGGTACCAGATTAATTCTGATTCTGACAAAATCGGACCGTGGAATTAGGATTGAAAAAACTCACTGTCAGTGTCTTATCATTTATATTGATAGTTTTAAAATATTTTTTTCATCAGAATATAAACGTGATTCATGTAAGAAAGCCTTTCTACTGTGTAAATGAGCCCGGCTCTCTGTACTTCTGAGTACTTTGATTTCCTTTGTTTTCATAACTTTTTAGCCTTTCTTTTGTTTTGCGGAACAGGTCGTCACGAAAATTTGAAATTTTTTTTGTAAATGTCGTTGGTCATTTTTATTGCTATGTATGTATATATTTCCATCCATGACCTTGTATCTATTTCATAGATCTGATATTAAGGATATAATATGTTGGTTTATTCTGCTCTCTCTCTCTCTCTCTGTCTCTCTGTATATATGTAGGTACCTGATATTGGTATTCCCCTTTCCATTCTTTCAATATCTTTCTTTCTTTCTTCCAAAATTATTTCATAGTTTTCTTTATCTAACTTCTTATCCTTAAGGCTGTAGTTGTTTGCAAGCTCTTTGCGGAGTTCAGCATCATATTCTTCTCGAGATAGGAATTCTAGAATCTTTTCATACACTTCGACAATTGTTTTTCTCAATTCCCTTTTTTCATCTCTAATTCCAAATTCAAGATCAAGAGTACTGTAAAAATATTTATAAATTAATTTTAAATGTTTTCTATTTGAGGACAGCTCGTCGATTTTATTGAATGCTTTTAAATTATTTAAAAATTGATATTAAAATAATGTTAAATATGGATTACTGTTTTTTTTTCAAGATTTTCATCTGGAATATATTGTAAATATGTAAGGAACTTAGATAATTTGATAAAAAGAATATTAATAAGAATATCCTTGGACCCAGGTTGAATATTCAGAAGAGGGGCAGATGTTGGTGTCATGTCTTCAACCACCAAGGGTCTGACATTTTTTGCTTTGTCCATCTGATTTTCTGTTGTTTAACGTCCCTCTCGAGAAGTTATCACCCATACGGAGACGCCACAATTTGTGGATAGAGAGCAGAAAATGTTGTTCTATACTCGGCACTCAGGGCCATTGAGATCGAGGGGGGAATATTTTCGTGTAAGCACCTACTGCGACACAGGACCTCAGTTTACAACCTCGGTCTCATCCGAATGACCGGTTTCCACATCCCACAGTGGGATTTGAACCCTCGACAAAAAGATCAACCCCTTACTTCACCATTCTAGAGCAGACGTTCTAACTACTGTGCCACGCGGGTGACCCATCATATACATATACTATGAAAGGACTGCGTTTTAGATTTTTATTTAGCTGTCAGAGCCATTGAGCAATGAAGATTGTCTATTTTGAAAACGCCGTCCATGACAAGAGACTTTCGATTTTAGATCATAACAAATATTGATATCATCTGCAAGTGTGTTGTGCTTGCCAAAGGAATAGTCACTGCCAATGCTTAAGTCGAGGGTTTTGGTGGTGCTAGGAATGGGCTCAGAAAATCGAATCTTGTACCCCCTGTTCGCGAAGCAAGTGCATTACAACGTTAACAGATTTTTTTTAGACATCCTTATTGTAAAATAATTCTGTATTTAAAGTGTGGGTATAGTTATTCATCCATTTGCTGTGAATGAAGGTATATGTGATATTGATAATCTAATTCTTATAGATTATCTGAATCATTTACATTTGTTTTAAAAACGTAAGTGACCAATATTAAAGGTTATTAACCTTGATGCATTTGTTATTTCTTCCATATCCGTGTCACTACTTTGGCTGAAAATATAAAATAAAATAAAAATTATTATGATCAGTGAACTCTTATAGCTTTTTTAACCTTCACTATAACTTTTATACCATGAAAGATAGAGACTTTATATTTCGTAAGCATACTCTACTAATTATGTTCTTTCAAATGGCGCCTAGGTCAATGACCTGGTAACCTTGACTGTTACGTATATGTTAAATATAGCTTTTTCGAGTTTTGTTGCTTCCAGGCGCACAGTGTTTCACAAACACATCTTGTTAGACTGAAAATCGTTGCAACTTCACTTCACATTCATTAACTACACTTTATGTTAAATGTTCAGCGGCAATGGGCAAAAAAATTGAACATGTAACTAATACCAGAGGAATACTTCATGAATGTTTGTGCGTGCAACATAAATGCAAAAAAGAAAATGATTATCATTATTGATAACAAGAACATTACCTAGAAGAAGACCTCTTCTCTCTGATTTTTTTCTTGTCAGTTGATCCACACCAGGTAGCCATTAATGAAGTTTTGTGTCAAGAAACTGTAGTCCCCTTTCAAGCTCTTTCGGCTAAAAATCACAATAACAAAGTTTAGTGTACATCACTATTTTGAAATGTTAAGGACCTTAACACCACTCTACTTTATCAGAAAAAAAAATTTACTGAGAATAACTTCATACAATTTTTTTTATTTCCAATTGACACGACAGTAACATAGGTAATTCAAAATAAATTCTAGTCATATCGAGAAACATTTTTAACATTTACACCGGGACAATATTGCATTTCCACTGCACACGCCATTTTTCCCTTGTTTGAGTCCCCATAGGGGCTAAAAACGCAAGTGAGCTTTTCTTATCACATTATATTTGCCTTCCATTTTGTTTTAAAAATTAGCTTTTCTTCCTTCCGTCCGAACTGTAAATTGAGGCCACAAAGGAGAATCAAAGTTTCATATAAAAATATTTATCAGAAATTCTTTTAAAACTCCTTTTTAGCCGGGCTTATTGCTCAAAGAGCAATTGCCGGCTTATGTGATCCTGTTCAAGGCAGGATGTTAACCCCATAGTCGCCATTTTAAAGTTACGTGCAAAAATATAGCTCTTACACTCAACCGCTTTTGAGATAATACAAACGCTAAATAAAGCAACAAAAATAAAACGAAGTTTTATCTATATAAAATAAACATTAGTAGTAATGACTTGAAAACTTCATAAGTCAAAGAACATAGTTCATTAGCGTAAGGATTTTTGATAATCAGTGTTACCGTAGTTCTCTACACATACGAGATAAAGCAGGAGAGGGAACCAGACTGGCCTGTTTGTTTACATTCAGCTGCGGTACCAGATTAATTCTGATTCTGACAAAATCGGACCGTGGTATTAGGATTGAAAAACTCACTGTCAGTGTCTTATCATTTATATTGATAGTTTTAAAATAATTTTTTCATCAGAATATAAACGTGATTCATGTAAGAATTCCATTTGACTCTGTAAATGAGCCCGGCTCTCTGTACTTCTGAGTACTTTGATTAACATAAGCAATTATTTGATTGGTCATATTAATATGAAAATACTTTCAGGCAGTGCAAATTTGAGTATTTTATTAATATGTACAATTTATAATCATTATCAATACTGTAAACTCAGTCATAACAAAACAACGAGGACCTATGAAATTACGTCGCTATATCCGTAATTCCTGCTATACGATCGCGAGTTTTAAGATTTCGGCTGTTCTTGTACTTGACGATATGTAAAATTTCCTTTACGTTTCGTTGAAAAAGCCCTATAAAATTTTTGTTATTTGTGGAATTCCATATACGACAGCCACCTGCCAACTGCAACTGCTCATAGACGATATTACCGTCATATACGTTAAGGGGTGGTCCCCCTCTAGATCAGTGCATAAAAAACATAACTTATATTGAATTAAATGGGTGGAAGATGTGGTCGGGAATCGAGAGTCAGTGTGTGTATCTGGTAATCGCAATTATAAAAAAAAATGGGGGATTTTGGAAATTTTAAACTATTAGCCCGAGGAAGGAGTAAATCGGAAGAAGGAGTATTTCCTCTTAAAAACGAAAATGAAAGAATTTCTGCATTTCCTTGCAGGTATATAATTGTTAGTTTTTCTGATCACATTTTGTCCGGCCTCCGTCTAGCTGTCCGTCTGACTGTAAACGTTTCACAATTTCGACTTCTAAAGAACCGCAGGGCCAATTTCAACCATACTTGCAACAAAGCATCCTTGGGTAAAGGGAATTCAGCTTTGTTCAAACGCTGGTCCACGCCCTCATTCAAGGGGAGATAATTGGGAATTAGTGAGAATTTGGTGGCATGTTTTAAAAATATTCGTCTAAAGAATCACTGTGCCAGGAAAGTTAAACTTATGGGGAAACATCCTATGGTAGTATTGAGTCAAGTTTGTTCAAATCAGGACCCCTGTGGGTATGGCGGGGCCACAGTGGCCGATCAAAGTTTACATAGAAAGACCGTATAAGCAGAATTTTTAGCGAGGATTAATTTATTTTTGGCATTATTAATTAGCGAGCGTGCTTAGATCGCTAAAATTGAATATGGCTAAAATTTAATTGCGTTTTATTTTTTATAGCTTCTTTTGTGAGTATTTAAAATCGCTAAAATCGCTAGTAATAAGATACCAATCTTTAAGGGCAAATTGCTAAATTAATCTCTCGCTAAAATTTCCACTTATCCGGGTATATAGGAAAATTCTTTAAAAATTCTTTCAAGAAAAACAAAGCCATGAATGATTATATTTATATGGAAGCATCCTCAGGTAGTATAGATTAAAGTTTGTTAAAATCAGGACCCCGAGAGGTAAGGCGGGGCCACAATGGCCGACCAAAATTTTACATAGAAATTTATATGAAATTTTTAAAAAAGTCTTCTTCTCAAGAAAAGCAAATCTATAATTGATCATATTTTATATTGAAGCATCCACAGACAGTTAAATTCAAGTTTCTTGGCCTGAGATAAACTATTTAAGCGTGGGATAAACGGGGTCACAATGGCCGATTAAAGTTTTATATTGAAATATATAGAAAAATTCTTTAAAATTCTTCTTCTCTACAATAGCAAAGCCATAATTGATCATATTTTTATGGAAGCATCCTCAGGTAGTGTAGATTCAAGTTTTTTCAAATCATGACCCCTGGGGTAGGGCAGGGCAACAATGGCCGACCAAACTTATGTAAAAGTTCATGGGACTGACTTTTGGATTTCATCTTTTCAATAATAAACCAATTTCTACTTTTTCCAAGCCACAATGCTCAGTTGAGCGATGTTGCTCATGGGCTTCTTGTTTTTTTTTCTGGACACGGAAAAAGTTGGAGGGGAGGGATCATATACGATAGGTCTTGAGTAACATTTATTGGTATATGTGCGTATTAATACTAGAAGTATAACTGAAAATTATAATAACACATAACTTTTGCTAAGTGGAAAATTTCTAGCTTTCTGGATTTTTACATTTGTATGTGTGTCTTGTAAATCGTTTTAATGGCTTATGTTAGACCTTGAAAAACATTCCTGCTAATGGCACTTTTTCTAATTCCTTGTCAAAGGAGTTACATTGAGTTGTGCGAATCCCCCCCCCCCCACTGAACATGCTTTTCTTGGCCTGAGATAAACTATTTAATCGTGGGATAAACGGCCTTTATGATTTTTCATTAATATATCTGATATAAATGCATTTACCAAAACATATAACCCAAAATCATACCTAACCCCCCCCCCCCCCCGTTTTTATCTGACGTATATAATATCCCCCTTGGTCAAATAATCTACTGAATTAATTGCCTGCAAGGAAATATGGGAATTAGGTATACTGTATTTAAACGGGACTACTCTTTCCTCCTATTTATTTCTCTCCCTCCACCCTCCCCAACTGGTTAAAAATTTATGAATCCGTCAATTTGTTTTATTGTTATAATCTATCATAGGGCTTCAGTGGTGGATCAGGGAATTTTGTAACGGAGGGAGGGCGCAGTTAAAGGTGGGGGGGGGGGGGGTGCATTGCAGGAATCGACGCTAACTAACCAAAGTTGCCAATTTTTTTTTATTTCTACTACAGCCCTGTGTCATGTATTAGCTAGTTGTCCAGCAGCCAAAAAATGCTGGCCCAGTTACCAACCAACGAGGGGGTAGGTGCGGTAGGGAGTTTCCTCCTCCTGCTGGCGGGATCCCCCCCCCCCCCGGTAAATTTTTAAAAATGCCAAAGCCTGCATTCTGGCTGTATTTTGGGTATAATTATATTTATATGTCACTTTATGAAAATTTTCAGATTCATAATCATTTAGGATATTACAAATTACCTTTTACCTTTTGATTTGTATGATAACTACTAGTATGATGATAAAACCTATGTATAACAATAACAATTATCAGGAACATAGTGTGTATTACAGCATTTTTTTTAATTAATCAATGCATGAAGTTCACCAAATACGAGGGGTGATCAAAAAGTTCGTAAACTAATTGAATAACTTCCATAAAAGGCACAATATTTGGTTTCAGTGTTAATTATATTTTAAGGTAAGTCACTCCTCAAATTTTTTATATCAAGGATTTTTTGAGAAGTATATTTTGGATAAGTACTCATAAAGTGTGACTCAAAATTGCAGAGAAAATAGGGGGTCAGTGTGCATCGTACTGATGTATGGTACATTTAAGTTGACCTATTTGCACTTAAATTTTTAACCCCTTAGTTTATTACTTTTATACAATTATCTCTTATTATAGTTTTTCAGCTGTAACCATGGCAATAAATTTATTCTTACTTTACGTAAAATAGTTTGAATAATATTTATCATTGATCAAATCTTGCAAATTAATGCGCGTAAATAATTGTGACCTTTTTGCACTAAAATATAACATATTTTGGGTATTAGAAAAATAAAAAGGCAATATAATATTTTCTTATATCAAGCTTTGTATGATTTAAGTGCTGATCAGTCATAAGTATCGAGAAGTTTAAAATAATGAAAGAAAAAGTTGGGGTCAGTGATGTTAATTTTGAAATATTGGATAAAATATGTGATTTTCAGGCAAAAAATGGTGTAAAATTTATCTTGACTTCTTTGATATATCTCCTGTTTTTGGCAAAGTTTGTTGAAGGAAGATCTAAAACTTATTCTAAAAATTTAGATTAAGAACTATATCAAATATTCCTATCAATATCATAACGGAAAATATTCTCCGAGTAAAAGTATCTAAGGCTAAAGTTTCAAGACGTTAAATTTAATAAATGTGCAGATTTGCAGAAATTTCTGCTAAATATCCTTCCACCACGAAAAATAGTCCCTAATAAATCTTGCTTCTTTGAAGAATTTTAAGCAGTTTTTTCTTTGATTGTTAAAAAATATACATTGTTGAATATAATTTTTTTTATAAAAATTGAATTTTAATAAATATTTTTGAAGTTAGAGGTTCTGCGTGAACTTTTCTAAAAAGCTGACGAGTGACTTACCTTAAATTAGTCCTCTGCGATTTTAATGCACACCTGCCACCGTTCTGCTCATGCGCGAATCACGTGATATAGCCGGTCACG